AAAAAATGATCTGTACGTAAAATCTATTTAGTTTTATTAAAACAGTTATTTACCGCCTTGTTTTATGGTCACTGACGGGAAGGGAAGAAAAGAGAAAAGAAAAAAATTAAATTGAAAAACAAGTATAGACGGTGCGGTAGGAAAGGGGAATGCTGCTTCGTTATGAAAACAGTTTTCCTTTGATACCTGCATAATTTGATGCACAACAAAGAAAAAAACCATCTATTATCTCTGACTATACAATACAACGCAATGGGATGCAATGCAATGCACAAAAATACGATTCAGGATATAACCATCTCAATAACACAATAAAAACTTTACCAAACGACTACTGTTCCCAAACTCGATGCAATGCCACAAAATCAAAAGGGGTTTTTCTCAGTTCGGAAATTTTAATATGTGCAAAGTACTTTGCATTAGAGGACATAACCTTGTAGGTCTCTTTCGGCTTTAGTCAGAATTGAGACCGTTTGAGAACTTTAAGATTTGAATAACTATTTTCAAAACTTTCTTTTAGTGCTGTTGTCTTATCTGTCTCTGTTTTATTTTCACATCATAATTCAGCAGATCACGATATGTCCTGATCCAGCCAAAGGAATTAATAAATTTTTATCGCGCATAATTTTGTTTTCAGGATAAGAATTCCTTCCACAACAGTATTGATACATTAACTTACAGTTGCTCTAGCCTTGTCAAGTTTTTGAAGGCACCTCCATTCAATCCTTTCATGTCGTTGTCATTCAGGCGTCTGCGTTGTTTATCGTATAAAACTGATCAATATTTCTAATATCCACCAGAAAATTATCTGTTTAGGTAGGGGTACTACTGAAACCTTTCAGGGGCTGTGGTTGAAGACAGTTACGATTGTTTTGAAATGTGAGGAAAAGTCGGCATCAGTGTCATTGAGTGAGGAGTTGTTTGTGCTAACTTCACCCGTAATACTCGTTTTACAACACAACAACATATTTGAATTTTACATATATATGGAAATTTGTTACCGATGGAAATTTAAATGATTTTTTTATTTAACGTAAGCACTTCGTGATGCCTTTCATACAGAGAATAAAATCTCGTAAGCGGTCAGTCCTGAACAAAGATCCAGAATGCAACAGTCGATGCATGATCTTCGTGATGTTTGATATAATTTAATCTTAATTTGCGAAGCGAAACGAATAATCGGATAAATCTGAGATCTCACGCATTATTTCATCTCTGTAAATCATCAAAAAACTCTTTGGGCACCATTGTATTTTTGTCGTGGATGCCTTTTAAGATCAACTACACCTGTCACGCAATTCTTGCTCTAGGCGGTCACTGGAATGGAATGGAAATTTCACGTTTAGAGGGATAAATGTAGGCGAAAAATCGAAGAGAAAATCGTCCCGTTTCTTTCTTCAGTCGTTTATTACTTTGGAGATTTGCTAAAATCCGCAGATATGACTTTTGTACGGCACAAAACATTCATTAGTCTATAATTTGATTGTTTATCATTATCATTGCTATTTTAAGGGTTTTAAAGTCATATGCAGCGTGTTGGTTGACATTACTACAAGTTCCAGTGTGCTACAACTTCGGCCTTTACAGAAGAGAAATTCTGCGCTCTCGCTTGAGAGCAAATAACAGTAGTTCTATCAGATTAAAAACTGTGCTTCTATTCCGAAAATAAAATTAAAATAGTGTTGTCGTTGTCACTTACCGCCATCGAACATTTCCATGCAGAACTCCGCTAAGCTAACATCTGTTGCGTGACCCGAAGACTCTCCGTAGGAATTATTCAAGCGCGTTCTTCATGCTGTCTGCTAGACAACAATTTCAGAATAATCTGCAGATCCCTATGATTATTTGCCTGCTTCGATCGTAAAATATCTGCATAATTTTTTTCAAGCATTCTATTACTACATATAAATCTACATCTCTCTAGATCCAGTGTTGCCGGC